CTCCACAGCCTCTCCAGCATTTGTCATTTGTGGACTTTAGAATGATGGCCATTCTGACTGGAGTGAGGTAATACCTCATTGTAGTTTTGATTTGCATTTCTCTGATAATTAGTGATACTGAGCATTTTTTTTTCATGTGTCTATTGATCATTTGTATTTCTTCCTTGGAGAATTGCTTGTTTAGGTCTTCTGCCCATTTTTGGATTGGGTTATTTTTTTTTCTTATTAAGTTGTACGAGCTGCTTATATATTCTGGCGATCAAGCCTTTGTCAGTTTCATCAGGCAAATGAGTTTTCTAATGTTACTAGAACTTCTTTGGAGTTTCTAGTTCCTTGTTACAGGCACCAGCATTTCTATTGATAGTGTTTATTAATTCCTTCAGTATTTTTATTATCCCTTTTATGAAATCAAGCTCTGGTAGACTGGAGAGGTCTGTTTCATTGTTTGTTCATTCAGGGAATTTCTTTTGTTCTTTTCATTGGGAGTGGTTCTGCGGCTTCTTAATTTTGCTTCTATTTCTCTGACTGTATGAATTTAGAAGTAGCAGTTGTTTACTGTGGCCTTGAAGAGCTGTATTTATGTGAGCACATCCCTGTGTAGCCTGTGTGCATGTAATATTTTTGTTGTGAGCACTCTTTTTAGTATGAATGGCTGCCACATCTTTCCTCCATGTGTTGTGCTGGCTGTTATCCCTTTGATTGGGCATGTGGTTGGTGTTGTGGTGACCAGAGCCTGCACTGGATGTTAACCAGGGCCTCCTCTTTGCTCTGTGGTTGTCACAGCCCTGTTGGAGTGGAAGCCCCCAGATCTATTTCTGAGCTGCAGTGTGATGTAGGCTGGACTGGAGGGCTTCCACAGGAGAGGAGCAACTGAGTATTCCTTCACAAGAGCTGTCTACCAGAAAGTGCACTCTGTAATGTCTGTCATTTGTTGTGCAGGTTCAAGACAAAGTATATGCTGTTGCTGGCATCCCCTGGGCCCTGCCTCAGCCATGTGAATGCAAGCAGTGTGCTCTAGTGTCCCTCAGCTGTACTCACAAAGCCACCAGGGCTGATCCATTGAAGTCAGGCACCAGGAACTGCTATAGTCATGCATAGTTGCTCACCTGAATTTACAGGGTCAGTCCTGACCTCAACACTGCTTCCGTGTGCACTTGCCAGCTGTTAACACTAGACGTCTCCCAGCTGTGCACCAGTATTCTGCTCAGATGTCTCACAGACGCTGAGTTTACAAAGGCTCCAGTGGTGTAAATCTGCCAAAGCCACTTGGGAGACAGAACATAATTTCAGCCCTGATTCTGAAGTTGTGTGGCCGTAGGAATGGGCACAAATGTCAGCCCCACCTTTGCTTGGGGGAAACCTGCCAATAATTGCACCCTTTCCAGAGCAAGCTGAGTTGGAGACCACTATTGCAGAGTCCTTCCTTTTCTTTTGCAAACCTGTGTTAACAATGGGGTGTTTATGGCAGGGCCATGCCCTGTGATGATGCCAAAAAGGAAGCAGCTATGGTGGGGTCTGCCCCTCACTTTGTGAACACCAACAATGGAGCTTTTAAAGGCAGACCCAGGCTCCTTTGCACACACTCTCAGTTTCAGCCCATATCACACTCCAGCCCCTTCACGCTGTCTCTGCACAGTCAACCTCTGTCCTCTGCCTGGGTCCTCTGAAGCCCGAGATTCAGCACCCAGTCCTGGCATGCAGCAGCAGGCTCACATCTCAGGTTAAGTACTATGTATGCTTTGTGCAGGTTTCACTCCATTCTGCCTGCTGCAGAGTGGTTCTTGCACTCTCCTCTGAGCACTGAAGCTCACTTTCTGTCCAAACTGATCACTCCACTGGTGAAGGGGCTTCCCGGGGTGAGGGAACTTTTCCTCTTTCACTGCCCCCTCCCCAGGACACAAGCCCTGTTCTGATTCTTCTCTTTTTCTTTTTTTTGTCCTATCCAGTTACATAGAGATTTTTCTTGAAGCTTTACTTAAATAAGATCTTCTGCTAGAGTTCAGCAGATATTCTGTGAAAATTGTTCCACATGTAGATCTATTTTTGTTGTAATTGTGGGAGAAGGTGAGATCCACATCCTTCTTTTCTGCCCTCTTGAAGCCCCTTGAGTGCATGTTAACTACCTTGCATTTGTGTTCTCCTCCCCTCATGATTACTGCTTTTGATGTCCTATTTTACATCTACTTGTTTTGTACATCCCTTAACTACTTATTCTGCATATAGGTGATTTTATTACTTTCATCTTTTAATCTTTCTAATAGTTCATGTGTGGGTGACTTCCTACCTTTACTGTATTTGCTTTACTAATGAGCTTTTCCACTTTGTAATTTTCTTGTTTCTAGTTGTAGTCTTTTCTTTTCTGCCTAGAGAATTTCCTTTAGCATTTGTTGTAAAGTTGGTTTGGTGGTGCTGAATTCTTTTAGCTTTTGATTGTCTGTAAAGCTTTTGATTTGTCTATCAAATCTGAATGAAAGCCTTGGTTGTAGGTTTTCCCCTTTCATCACTTTAAATATGTTGTGCCATTCTCTTCTGGCCTGCAGAGTTTCTGCTGAAAAATCAGCTGATAGTCTTATGGGAGTTCTCTTGTATATTATTTGCTGGTTTTCCCTTTTTGCTTTTAATATTAATTTTTTATTTTTAATTTTTGTCTTTTTAATTACAATGTATCTTGATGTGTTCCTTTTAGATTTATGGGACCCTCTGTGCTTTCTGATCTTGGATGACTGTTTCCTTTCCCAACTTAGGGAAGTTCTCAGCTATTATCTCTTCAAATACTTTCTCAGGCCTTTTCGCTCTCTCTTCTCCTTCTGCGACCCCTATAATGTGAATATTGTTGTCCCAGAGGTCTCCTAAACTGCCCTCTTTTTTTTCATTCTTTTTTCTGTTCTGCAGTATTGATTTCCACTACTCTGTCTTCCAGCTCACGGATCCATTCTGCCTCATTTAGTCTTTTATTGATTTCTTCTCTGGTATTTTTCATTTCAGTTATTGTGTTCTTTAACTCTGTTTGGCTGTACTTTATATTTTCCAACTCTTTGTTAAGAACTGCTCACTTCTTGCCCTGTGCATTCATTCTGCTCTCAAGTTCTTTGATTGTCTCTATGATTATTACTCTGAACTCATCTCAGGTAGATTGCTTATCTTCACATCACTTAGTTCTTCTAGGATTTTATTTTTTTTTTTTTGTCAAGAACATATTCCTCTGTTGCCTCATTTTTGTTTAAATTTCTATTTGTGTTTTTATATATGTGGTAGGTTAGTTACACTTCTTGACCTTGGAGAAGTGGCCCGATGTAGGAGACATCCTCTGCATTTCGGCAGTGCACTCCCCTATTGCCACACAAGGGCCTGGGGCCATCTGGTCCCAGAGTATGATTCGGTCTGTGTTTGCAAACTTATTGCACAGGCAGTGGGATTGTAGTTTTCTTGCTTCTGGTGTCTGCCTCCTGGTGGATGAGGTTGGTCCAGATGCTTGTGCAGGATTCCTGGTGGGAGGGGCCAGTGACTGCCTACTGGTGGGTAGGGCTGTATCTAGGAGCAAGTCTAAATGCAGCTGTGAGGTGAAGAAGGCTTTAAGCAGCCTGCTTGCTGATGGGTGGGGATGTGTTGTTTGGCCTGAAGCATTCCAGCATGGAGCTTACAGGCTGTTGGGTGGGGCCCGGTCTTGGTGCTAATGATCCAAGATGTTAGCCACCAGGAGAGTTCGTGCAAATGAATACCCCCTGATATATCCTCTACCGGTTTCTATGTCTCCACTGTGAGTCTAAACAACTCCCCACCTCTCCAGCAGAACCTCCAAGATGAGCAGGTAGGTCTGACCTAGGCTTCTATGAAATTACTGCTTTTGTTCTTGGTCCCAGTGCATGTGAAAATTTGTGTTTCTATTTCCTCCATTCCTGTGGCACTCCTGCAGTTAAGCCCTACTGATTTGCCAAACCAAATGCTCCTGCGGCTCCTCTTCCTGATACTGGACACCTGGGCTGGGGAGCCTGACCTGGGGCTCAGAACTCTCCCTCATGTGGGAGAAGCTCTGCAATATAATTATTCTCCATTTTGCGGGTGGTCCACTGAGGGGTATAGGATTTGATTTTATTGCAAGTCTGCCTTTCTTATCCATATTGTTGTCTTCCTTCTTTATGCCTTTAATTGAAGGTCTTTTGTGATAGTTTCCTGTCCTTTTCATCAATGGTGGTTCTGCAGTTAGTTGCGATTTTGATGTGCTCATGAGAGGAGGTGAGCTCAAATTCTTTCTACTCTACTATTTTGGCTGCTCTCCTCAGAGAGGAAGATGTTGAGGCCAGAAATTGGCTTCTTACAGCACTCAGCTCTACACACCTCTGCCTCATGCCAAGATGGATTCTCCCTTGGGCTACAGCATGGCACTGGCCGCCAGTTTGCTGGTGGCCGAGACTTTATGAACAGTTTTTTTGAGATATAATTTATGCACCATAACTTTCATGCATTTAAAGTATACAATTGATACACATGTACCAATGTAAATGAAAAATGATTTAATATGGGGCAGGCAGTTTAGGAAATCTTCCTGGAAGAGGAGTGTGATACAAATTTTGAAAAAATTGTACGTATTATCCAGGGTGGGATGTTACCAGCAGAAAAAACAGCATATGAAAAATCTGAAAGCACCCAAGGTTACGTATTTGTAAAACTGCACGTTCTTCTGACTGGCTAAAGCTAGCATGGGTGATAAGGAGCAACGCTGGCAAGAAGGCTGGAGGAACAGGGAGGCAGGCAGGATCTTGGAAATTTTATTTGTAGAAGGCTACCAGGGAATGTTATTCAGAATAGGTCTTTTTCTCAGACTATTTCAGCACAAGTTCAGGTCTGAACTTCCTGACATATCTTTGCCCTTTTGTGTTCTCCAGATCTTATGGAAGATAACAGAGAAACTAGAATTCTGCATGAAGATAAATGAGTTCCTTCGTGTTGCAGAAAAGACCTTCGCAGGTACAGGGAAGGGTTCAGCTCACAGTGGGATGGGGAAGTTCCTGCAGGGCCCTCTGAGAACCCTCACAGCAGGCACTTCCAGAACTAAGGAGCTTCTTCTCTTCCCGTGAACACACTCTGCTTCATCTGAAAATAAATGCAAGTTGTGTTTGTAGGTCCAGCCAGTCAGGAAGGGCCTTTCCCAGCAGGTTCTAACAGTTTCCCTTGATATGTGATCATAGGCAAATCTAGTCATTTCCATCTGCTTTTTCAAGACAGTTTGGTCACTGAAAACATAGACAGCTAAGGAATGGGGTTTGTAGCTCTCAGGGCTGACTCTTGTTTTCTTTTTTCTCTAAAATCTACCTGGAGCAGAAGAGAAAGCCAAAAGAGAGTCATCTGAAAAGGAAAAGAAACTTCATGAGCAAAAGGTTAAAAAGCTGCTGAAAAAATGTGAGAACCTAACGAGAGCCTTCATGGAATTTAAAGCCAAAATGACAGAGGAGATAAGAGTGAGAGAGAGCCTTCTGAAGGAGATGAATGAGAGGATTAAGAGGCTCAAGGTAAGTCTGGTCTGGGTCTGGGCAGTGACTGTGGAACAAAGCTCTGGAGCCTCAAGAAGCTATGGATGAAAATTAAAGCAAAGTCACAGGGGGAAGCACCAATAATTTAATGCTCTGACTCACTAGAAGCCTTGATTTTTTAGTGATTTGTGTCCAGGCAGTTGAGTGAGCTTCTGGACCATCCAGGAGGACCTTGGTACTTTCAAGCATTTATAAGATATAAATAACTTTCCCAGGGCTTGTGCTGCTGTTTCGAGGGATTCCTGGATAACCTCTGGTAGCCGGTATTAAATGGGGTTTCCAGGATTATCAAGTAGTTATTCCAGCTGAGTGTGTCTAATATAAGCAGGAATTGGTTCAATTGACCAAAATTACTGCCAGTTACTAGGAACACTACTACCACCCTAAGACCCTAAGGTAGGTCCTTACAGACCTAAAAGCATCAAATACGCAAAGACTTAGAAATAAGAGGGGCTGACATCTCCTAATCTGGATGCAGTTGTCTCCTGGTAAGGATAACCTGTGTGAGTCAGCACACAGCACAGGGGAAATCCTCTCTCTCTTTCTTTTTATTGAAGCACACTTGATTTATAATATTGTGTTAATTTCTGAGGTACAGCATAGTGATTCTTCTGTACATATACATATAATTTTTTTCATATTCTTTTTCATTATATGCCATTGCAATGTAGTGAATATAGCTTTTAGTGCTATACATTAGGACCTTGTTGTTTATCTATTTTAAATGTAGTAGTATCTGCAAATCCCAAGCTCCAAGTTATCCACCCCCACATACCTTTTCCACTCTGGTAACCATAGATTTGTTTTCAATGCCTGTGAGTCTCTTTCTGTTTTATAAATGAGTTCATTTGTGTCCTTCTTTTTTCATTCCACATATAAGTGATACCATATGGTATTTTTCTCATTGTATTTTTTATTTACATTTCTCTGATAATTAGCAATATTGAGCATTTTTTTCATGTGCCTATCGGCCATTTGTATGTTTTCACTGGAGAAATGTTTGTTTCAGTCTTCTGTCCATTTTCGTATTAAGTTGTTTGGTTTTTTTTGTTATTGAGTTGTATGAGCTATTTGTATATTACGGAAATTAAGCCATTGCTGGTCATATTGTTTGCAAACATTTTCTCCCAGTATGAATAGCTACCTTATCTTTCCTCCATGTGTGCTGGCTGTTACCCACTTGACTGGGGATGTGTTGGTGTTGTGTTTTCCGAAGCCTGTATTGAATGTTAAGCAGGGCCTCCTCTTTGCTCTTGGTTTTTGTAGCCATGTGGGAGGCTGAGTCTGACCTCCTGTTGTTAGGGTCTAAGCCCCCAGATCCACTTCTGAGCTGCTATGCATGGTAAGCAGGACTGGAACACATCTGCTAGGAGAGGAGCTGCTGAGCATTCCTATGCAGGAGGTGTCCACTGAGAAGTGCCCTCTGTGGTGTCAAATATCACCCTTCATGGGGGCTTTACCGCCAAGGAACACCTTGTTGGCCTGCTGTGAAGGCATTTGCTATGACAGTGTCCCTCTCCTCCCTCCCTTCATGACAGCGAGTTAACAGTGGAGACTCTAAGTCTAAGCCACACCCTGTAGGCAGTGTTGCACCCCTCTGTTCATGTGGACCAATGGTGGAGATTCCTATGGCAGACCCAGGCTCTTTTGCACACGCTCCTCACCTCAACCTGTACCACACACCACCCACTGAAGATGCCCCTGTGCAGTCAACCCTAGTTCTTTCCCTGGATCCATCCTCTGAAGCCTGGGCTCCAGCACGCACCAGCTGGCTCACATCTTGGGCTAGGGACCTCACATACCCTTTGTCCTGGTTTCTCTCTATTCTATCTGCAGAGTGGCTCCTGTGCTCTCCTCCGTGCCTCTGAAGCTCCCATTCTGTCCCAGCTTACCACTCCCCTGGATAGGGGTCTTCCCAGGTTAGGGCACTTTCCCTCTTTCACCCTGCCTCCCCAGGAAGCAGGTCTTTTTCCTATTTCCTTTCTCTTTTTTTAATCCTGTGTGGTTTCGGGATGGTTTCCCCTGTAGTTCCGCTGTATAAGATCTTCTGCCAGAGTTTAGTAGGTATTCTGTGAGATGTATTTTTTTATGTATCTGTGGGAGAGGGTGAGCTCTACATACTTCTGTTCCACCATCTTGAAGCCCCTCTCCAGGAATTCTCTCTTATCCCATCTGGAAGTATTTATATTAGATTTCTAGGTAAGCATAGGAGTTCATAGTATTTCTAAGATGTATGAGAATTTGTACTGTTCAGAGGAAAGGCTCTCACCCAAGTAGCATGAATTTGGCTGGAATGTCTTATTATAGCAGAAGTCCTCGTGCCTGGTTAGCCACTTGGCCAAACCCTAGTGATACGTGAGTGTGAACGAGGTTGTGCTGTGCATCCTCTCACCTTCCAAGCCTAAACCACAACCTATTCCTGATGTAAATAATATCTTCTCATGATCTGATAAGAAATAACTCTTTAAAAGGAAAACAGACAATTTTATAAATTGTTAATGGAAGACCTAAGTTTAAAAACACTGGGATTTTCAAAAGTTTATCTTTTCTAACACATTATATACCTTTTTAGGCCAAAATGAACAATGATAATGAGAGCAAGCAAAATACTGAAATGACTGCACTTCAGAGACCCAGAAAACAATGATGAAGAATATATGTCATAGGCTTTTTGCTGGTCACTTTTGAGGAGCCAGTAAAATACATGGGATCACTAAAGTCTCCGATTTTTTTCTTGCCAATAACTTCTGGTACTGTTTACAAGTTTTCAACCGGTCTTTGGCTGGCTTGTTTCAAAGGTTTTAAGCACTTTAGTTTTCCTCAACATCTTTATATCAGATTGAAACAGCATCTATAAAATGTCATCAACAAATGGCAAAGAATGAATAGAATAAATGTGGCTGGATATTTAATTTAAATGGAAATATAAATGACTGATTAGAAGATAAAGAGGTCAAATTTTAAATATCCTAAAAAAACCTCTTAGATTATAATGATTAATAAATGCTTCTGAAAGTCACATATGAATAATTATACAAATGGAATATGTATAGTGTGCTCTTGAATGAAGGGCCAATTCCCTGTGTAAAACAAATATCTCTTAGTTCACCTGTAAATTTTATGTGTTTTGAGTTAAAATTTCAAAAGGCTGATTGCAGGCGTTTGGCGGTGCCACTGTGTAGACCGGACTCAGCTCGCTCGCTCCTCGCTCCGCTTCCTCTGCCACCATGTCTGACAAACCCGATATGGCTGGGATTGAGAAAGTTGGTAAGTTGAAATTGAAGAAGACAGAAACGCAAGAGAAAAATCCACTGCCTCCCAAAGAGACGACTGAACAGGAGAAGCAAGCACGCGAGTCGTAATGAGACGTGCACTGCCAGTATGCACTGTACATTCCACAAGCATTGCCTTCTTATTTTACTTCTTTTAGCTGTTCAACTTTGTAAAATGCAAAGAGGTTGGATCAAGTTGAAATGACTGTGCTGCCCCTTTTCTCATCAAAAATGGTGAACTACTGACAACGAAGGCCGCGCCTGCCTCTCCCATCTGCCTGCCTGGCAGGCAGGGAAGGAAAAGAACTTGCATGTTGGTGAAGGAGGAAGCTGGGTGGGTCAACAGTGAAATCTAGAGTGAAATGTAAGGTGATCCAAGAGGTCCTGCAGGCTGTAAAACGCAGTTTAATCAGAGTGCCATTTTTTTTTTGTTGTTCAAATGATTTTAATTATTGGAATGCACAATTTTTAATATGCAAGTAAAAAGTTTTAAAACCTGAAAAAAAAAGACTGATTGCAAATTTGAAGTAGAGCTAATCAAAAAAATTAAAAAGCCAAGACAATCTGAAGAGGTACAATGAAATTTATAGAACTACAATAATTAGGACAACGTGTCACTGAGGCAGAAACATAAAAACATAGCAAAAGAAAACGCTACATAGTCTAAAGATAGAACCAACAACATACCTGATTAAGTGTCTATGAAAAGTATTATTTACAATCAGTGGGAAAATATAACAGTACAGTAAGTGTTGTCAGCCAGCTGGAGAGTCATAGGATAAAGGGTGACTAGATCTCTGATAAACCTTGCACAAATAAATTCCACTTTGACTTTAGACATAAACATTAAAAAAATGCCATAAAAACAATAAAAGTAAGATAATTATTATGTTAACTTGGAACATTGAATTTATTTTTAAGTGACATACAACTCAAAGGCATAAAAATACTGACAAAACTACATAAAAATAAATATAAATTTGTTGCGGTATCAGGGCATAAAGAAACACAGGAACCAAAAAGATAGCCTCAATTTATATCACAGAAGAGAGCTAATTTATACCAGTTATGTATCATAAAGGAACGCCTTCTTAGCGCAGTGGGCAGTGTGTCAGTCTCATCATAGTATGTATCATAAAGAGCCTCAAGTCAATAGAAATGGGTTGAGTAGACAGCTTATAGAAAACTGAAATACTCAAGTCACTCAAAGTAAGAGGAATGAAACTAAAACTATGAGATACAGTGATTCCCTTCACAAGCCATCAAATTGTGTTCTCAGTGTTTTTGAAAACATGTACTTTTATGGGAGTACAAATGGTACAATATCTACTGAAAATCATGTCTAATACTTACTAAATACCTATGTTAACTTTGGCCCAACAGGTTCTATTTTAGGACGCACACACTCACAGAAATGATGTCCACTGCAGCACTGGTTATAATCTTAACGATTGAAAACTACTTACATGGCCATCTGTATGGGATTGCCAACATGACTGTTAGCATACTCATACAATGGAATGTTATGTATCCAGCAGATTGGGAGGCAGCGTTTCATTTGTAGCAATGCAGAACAATTTACTAGAGCTTCTCGGCCTTTTGGCTAAGATCAAGTGTAGAACAATTTACTAGATACGTTGTGATGTATGAAAAGTAGGATGTCGACCAACAGGAATAGTGCACTATTTCTGCAAAAAGAAATGCAATTCGTATATACATGTATGTATACACTTAGACAATCTCTGGAATGATGCATGGGCAACTAGAAAATTGGTTGCTTCTAGAGGAAGCTAGGTTTCTGAGATCAGGAATGAGAGGAATACTACTTTATTTTGTATAAACCTTTGTATCTTTTGAAATGTTTAGGAACTATGTCATACTTGTTCAGCAGTGTAAGAGAAGAAACAAGGATGATGATAACTGTGATGGTGATGATGGTGATGGTGATGGTAGGGAACTTTGTATTCCCAGAAAATCAGCCAGCTCAAAGAGGAGGTCTGTTAGAGTGGTCCAGATACCTGAAAAAAAAATTTATATCCTAATCTTATTTGTATTATGGAGCTCATTTCTACCTCCTTACAGTCACTAACAAAGTATAAAGTATCATACTTTATGATACTGAAATCATATAAAAATCATACTTTATGACTGAAATGCCTGCTTGTGTGTCTTCTGCTTTCCAACCACAAATTAGAGTTTTTAGGAGTTATATGTGCCATCTGTCTACAGTGCTTCTCAGTGTTTTTGGAATTCCCTTTCACTTGACTAATGTTTGCATTGTACATTATTTATCTAAGGAACTATTTCCTATTGCAAAATCTTGATGTGTTATCTCTTTATTCTAGGTATGTGTACACAATATTCAGCCTTCACTTCATCAAACATCCTGTCTTATAGATCCTTACCTTTATTTTACCTGACTAGTTTCTCATTGAAATCTTGGATTTCCTGACTCCCCTAAACTGGGTGGGGTGGTCCCCTTTTGTGCTCCCATTGAACCTACCATGTGATTCTGAAAATTAAAATGGTCAATGTACTCCTGTCTCCCTGATGACACCTTCTACCAGGGACTGGTTTATCTCCATCATTGTAACCTCAGCTCTAATTTTCCCATCCAGCTCTTAATGTGTAACAGAGGAATATTCCTTGAAAGAATAAATAATCTTTGACCCTAAAGTTGCCCACTTTTATATATGCTCATTATGACAGATACTTCAAGGAACTCTAAAAACAAAGGGTATATTTTTAAGATCCTAATAGAAAGGAGGCAGGATTAATGAGGACTGCAATTTCTAGAAAATGGGACTGCAAGGACATGAAGGCTAATTGAGGCTTGCTAAAAAGTTGTCCCTAAGGAAAGGGCTGGACTCACCATGTTTTTAGTTTGAGTTTCTTACGACAAATATTTATGAATGATGTCCCTCATTTTTGACTCACAGTTCATTTGTGAGGGTTAAATATAAAAGAAAGTATCTTAGTCATGCAAATCTCTCAAGTCCATCCTTGTCCTTCACTTAGATGAGGGTACTTTTCCTGAGATAAAAATCGTACTTTTCATCCAAGGCTCAATTTCTCACTGAAATAATGTCTAAGGAATCATTGTCTGAGCATTAGGGCAGCTTTCCTCCCTTCTCTTGTCAATAGGGTCATGAGGTCTCCATTCTGGTCCTTGAGAATATCATGAGGTTGGGACTCAGCAACCCACTCGATGTCCCCAACCAAAAGCCATTGAGATAAGAGCTCAGGCATCCACGTCTCCCCAACTGGTGTTACCCAGAGGTCTGCAGTCTCAGTAGGTGTCCTCGGCAATATCTCAGCTGCATCACCTTGTAGAAGGGATCAGGGTTCAGGCAAAACTCTTCTTCTCCAAGAAGTCACCATGACCTGCATTGTCCTCACCCTCAGGTCTAGTCCTTGAGGCATAATCTTTCAGGGGATTCAGCTGTTTTAATCAGAAAATACCAAAAGGGTTAGAAAACCAGCAACCCACGTTTACTTAAGGCTCTTTGGGTAAAACAGGAAATAATTCTGCTTAAGAGAAAGATTTATAAAAGATAATGAAGAGGTCAAGAGTTGGATAGGTCATGACAGAAAAGATAATAATGTGATTCCATAAAACTTCAGCTTTGATGAATTTGCTGAAGTTTATTTTCTCCTAATACATTTTTGCTGGCTATTGCTAGATGCTTAGAATAAGTGCCCAGTACATAGGAGGAACTTTCTAAGTAATTGTTAAATACATGAAGGAGTAAAATCATTTCTTTAATCTCTTACCCTCAAATTGAAGATGTGAGAGTTACACATCTACCTTTGCAGGTGATTTTTAGAGTTATGGGAATATGTTTCTTTTTTTTGTTATTTCTTAGGTAAATCATCCCTTCCACTCTATTAATCTGTCAGTAGCCTGCTGCTTGGATGCTACCTTTTCACTTGAAAGAATAGACTATAGGACTCCTGACTGAAAGTATTTATTTACAAAAGAATTACCTCAGCTCTGGTCAGGTGTCCGGAGGGGCTGGGTCAAGGAGCTGACCATTTGGGCATAGAAAGCATGTGCCTAATACACTTTGACTATCCATTTTACAAATACCTAACCAGTTATGAGAGGGACTGGTAAGTTAACAACATATGGCTTTGTATAAAATGATCAATGCTAATGATGGAGCTATTCAAAGTTCGCATGTTTCTCACAACCATTTTTGTTTATCTTGTTTCACATTTGTAGCCCAGGGGCCTGTTTTTAATAATTGTCCATATGGCAATGCCACGAGACATGACTGAAATTTGTTCTGACCTCTAGGGTGACAAGAAGAATGACACCCAGATATTTGTACTGGCACTGCTACTAAGTAGCACCTTTGTATACAATACCATGAACAAAATTGACCAGAGGGATATCGACCTCTTGCAGTATCCTTTTGTGGTTCAGGATGGCACCAAAGCCAGAGAGAACGCCTCTGTTCACCATCTGTGTTCATGAGTCCTTGTGAATCAAACATAAAATGAAAACACTACAAACATTAAAAACACAGGATAAAGAGTCTTTATGTTTGCTGATGAAATGAGGAATTGGTACAACTCAAAGTGCATATAAAAGTACAGGCAGGCGCAGAGCTAGGTGCAGCTTAGACGCAGCCCTATTTGCAACAGTTTTCCTTGATTGCATCTCAGCTATGTGACAGAGCTGTCAGGTCTGCTCAGAACAGTATCCTCACCTGATCTTGATGGGATAGAAGATGCAGCTGACTTTGTGAGCATCTGTCCAGACTTAGTGTGGACTCTGAGAGATTTCTACCTTGACCTGGAAGCACATGGGCAACTTATCACAGCAGACGAGTACCTGGAAAATTCACTGAGGCCAAAGCAAGGTAACAGAGACTTCAGTTTTGGAAAGAGAGAGAAAAGGTTCTCTTTGTTTTGGAGTCAATTATAAATGGGATTTTTAAAAAAATTTCTTTCTTGCGGGGAGGGTATAGCTCAAGTGGTAGAGCATATGGTTAGCATGCAGGAGGTCATGAGTTCAATCCCCACCTAGTACCTCTTCTAAAAAGAAATAAATGAATAAGGCAAATTATCTTTCCCTCAAAGAACTTTTTTTGAAAAAAAGTTTCTGTTGTTTCATTACTAACGTATGGAAAGGCAACTGATTTTTGTGTATTGACTTTATACCTTGTAGCTTTACTGAAATGATTCATTAGTTCTAATAGTTTTTTGATGGTTTGATGTGGAAAACTAGAAATCAGAAATCGCCCTGTTTGGACTCCATCCAGGTCATCCACAGCACCCAAGACACAGCGGCTCCTAATCTTCCCACAGTGCCTCTACGTTACACGTGGACTCCTGCTAGGGTGATGAGCCTCAGCCCTTTGGGTGAACTGGATCTGGTTAAGGGTTGGCCTCTGTAAGGATATCTGATGTCTTCTCTGCTTTTTTGGTGTGGTGTTCACATGGTTGTTTTGGAAAGTAATTTAGTTTATAGTAATTTCAAACCTATAAAAAACTTAAAATAAGTACTCACATTTGCCACCTCACATAGAATACTCCAGTGGGTTTTACCTAAAACTGAGATACTCCCCCAGGGAACCAGCACATAAACCCCAAATGAAGAAATTGTATGGTTCACCTTGTAACCCCATCCACAGGCCCACTTCAGCCTCACCATTGCCCCAATTTATGGAAATCCTTTTTTCATTCTGATTCAGTTTTCTTTTTCTGAAACTATAACTGAGAGTCCCCTCTTTTTCAAAATCACAATGGATCAAAGCACATGAGTTGAGTACGACCTGGGTGGCCTCCTCCGTGTGGCCTCTTTCTCTTAGAATGCTTTCAATGTTCATCCAAGTTGCAACATGTATCATTAATACTTCATTCACATTTTTCATTGTAATTAAAAATACAGAACATAATATTTACCATTTAAACAAACACTTCTATGGTATTAACTAAATTCACATTGTTGTACATCCATCTCCAGAACTTATTCATTTTCCCCAAGTGAAACTGTGTCCAGTGAACACTAACTCCCCTCAGCCCCTGGCAAGGACACTCTTTCTATCTCGGCATTTGGCTTCTCTGGATGCCTTGTGTAAGGGGAATCCTGCAATATTTGTCCTTCTGTGTCTGGCTTATTTCACTTAGCGTAGTGACTTCAAGATTTGTCCATGTTGTAGCATGTGTCATAATTCCTTAGTTGTCAAGGCTGTGTAGTACCGCATTGTGTGTACACCACAGGTAGTTCATCCATTCATCCACTGGTGGACAGTTGAGTTGTTACCACCTTTTACTCTTGTGATTAGCGCTGCTATGAATATGGATGTACCCATTTCTCTTCCACTTCCTGCATTAAAATAATTTGAATATATACTGTGAAGTGCAATTGCTGGGTCACGTGTTAACCCCATGTGTAAGTTTTTGAGGAAATCCCATATGGTTCTCCACTGTGGCTGCACCATTTTATTCCTTTATATGGCAAAACAATATGGCAGTTTATGGACATACCCTATTTGTTTAGCCTCTGATGGACATTTCCATTGTTCTACCTTTTGGGCCATTGTGAATAGTGCTGCTATGAATATTTGTGGACAATTTTTTTTGGTTTGTTTGAACACCTGTTTTTAATGTTTTGGGGTCTATATCTAGGAGTGAAGTTGCTGAACCATAAAGTAACTGTATTTTTGATCTTTTTGAGGGAATGACAAACTATATACATGGGCTGTACCATTTTCCAATTCTACAAGTAATGTTTAAGGGTCTCAATTTCTCTACATTTTTGCCAATACTTGCTGTTTTTAGTTTTTTTGATTGTGGGGCTTCTATCATGTTTGAAAGGCTATGACATTATGGTATTAATTTGCATTTCCATCATAATTAATGTTTAACATCTTTTCATGTGCTTCTTGACTAACGGTCTTGTCTGGAGAAGGGCCTATTTAAGACCTTCTACCGTGTTGAACATTGGGTTGTTCGGTCTGTTTATGAATTGTAAAAGTTCTTGATATATTCTTGATAAAGTTTTTTTTCAAGTATATAATGTGCAAATATCTCCTTTGATTCTGTGTGTTGTCTTTCCACTTTCTGGATAGCATCTTTGATGTACAAAAGTTTATTTGGAGGAAAGTCAGTTTATCTTTTTTCTTTCCTTGGTTGTCTTTTGCTATCAGATCTAAGAAAATCGCTAAATCCAAGGTGATGATGATTTACCCCCATTGTTTCTTTGAGAGTTTATACAGCTTCCTTCCCTATCTGTGAGGTATTGGCTCCAGGACACCCTATGGATACTAAAATCTGTGGGTGCTCAAGTCCATTATATAAAATGGTGTAATATTTGCAAATAATCTAAGCACATCTTCCTGTATACTTTACATCACCTCTAGGTCACTAATAATACCTAACACAATGTAAATGATATGCAAATCATTGTGAAGAAAATGTAATGTTATTTAAATAGTTTCTGGCGTGCAGCAAATTCACGTTTTCCTTTATGTAACTTTCTCAAATTATTATTATTATTTTCTATTTGAAGTTGGCTGTTTCTGCAAATATGGAATCAGTTGATGAGGGCTGATTGTAACTTTACCTCTCTTCAAATTTAAGCTGTTAATCTATCTTGAGTTAATTTTGTATGTAATGTGAAGCAAGGATACAATTTCACTTCTCTTGAAAATTAACATTAAAACTTGAGACTGTTTAACTTTGGAAGAAACTACCAAACTGTCTTCCAAAGTTGGCTGTACCTGTATTCCACTAGAATCTTGAATATATTTTTGTACAATTATGTACTATCTGTATACCTTCTTTAGCCAGGTGTCTGTTTCTATCTTTACCCATTTTTAATGGGGTTGTTTGTTCTAGATTTTATTGGTATAATTTGAGTACAAATCCATTATCAGATTAGCATCTTGCAAATGCATTCTCCCAGTTTGTGGTTTGTCTTCTGGCTTTCTGAACAAGATCTTTCACAGAGTAGAAGTATATATAACTTAATGAAGTCCACATTATTAAGTTTTTGTATTATTTTGTAGATAGGCATTTGGTGTTGTGTGTTAAAATGCATCACCAGACCCAAAATCTTATAGGTTTTCTCCCATTTCCTTTTAAAATATTTATAGTTTTGTCATTAAAATTTGTCTATGGGCAATTTGGAGTGAATTTTGCTATCAGTTGTTAAGTTTGTGTCTATGTTCTCTTCATTCTATGTATCTTATAATTAATTGTTCCTTAACCACTTTTTGAGATGGGATGGTGAGATGTTTGGGTCTGTTTCAGTTTGGATTTCCAAAGGTTCTACATAGAGCAGAACTGTGCTCAGGATGAGGTCTCTGGGCTTTGTAAGCTCAGCGTTTCCCAAACTTCTCTGATGGCCCACAGGGGGGCGCCAAACCAACCTCTCTGACCCACAGGGCACAGGTGCTTTCTGCCCAGGGACTTGGCCCCTTGCGCGGCTGGCAGGGGCTTTGTCTCCTCAGGACTGTCAGGGCTTTGGCTTCTAGACAGTGGGGCTGTGTCCATGCTGTCATTGCCTGAGTTTTCTCAGGAATCACCAGCCAGGATGCGCCATAAAATAGGGAAAAAAGAGGACAAAGTGGGGAGAAGCTTCCTTTGGAGCTGACTGCTGAGGGGAGCTCTGTCTTCAGAGGACCCTCAGAAAGAGCTTGACGTGGAAACTGGGGTTTTAGTTTTGTGTGCAATGTAGGTGGCGACCAGTGATGTTGCTTGGTGCACGGTGTCCAGTTTTCCCGGCACTGTTTATTGAGGGGACTGTCCCTCCCTTTGTGGGTCCTTGGCCCCATTTTCATGAATTAACTGACCACAGCCATGTGGGTTTATCTTTGGGCTCTTTATGCTGTTACTCTTGTCCGTGTGTCTGTGTTTGTACCAGTTCCTCACTGCTGTGGTCACTACAGCTCTGTGATACAGTTTGATGCTAGGGAGGGAGATGCCTCCGGTTGTGTCCTTCTTTCTCAGAATCTCTTTGGCTGTTCAGGGTCCTTAGCTGTTCTATATTAATAGTAGGGCTGTTATTTCTATTTCAATGAAAAATATCATTGAATATTATATTGATGTTGCAGTGAATTTGTTGATAGCTTTGGGTAGAATCAGTATCTTAGTAATAGTAATTCTTCCAATCCATGAGTACAGAATATTTTTCTGTTTATTTGTGTTTTCTTCAATTTCTTTTCCAATGGTTTACATTTTCTGAGTATAGGTCTTTCACATCTTTGGTAAAAATTTGTTCCTAGATATTTTGTTCTTTTTGATACAATTATAAATATGATTGTTCCCTTAAGTTTTCTTCTGATGTTTCAGTATTATTGTATAGAAATGCAACTGCTTTTTGTATATTGATTTCATATTCAACTTTACTGAATTTATTTAACAGCTGTTTGAAAAGTGTTGTGGAAAATTGTAGTTTTAAAATCTCACTGTTTCTCCTGCATCCCAGGGCATGCACAGGACCCAATACCTGGTGTCTACTCCTATACTCCTCCCACGGTGCCTCTTAATAGCAAGTGGACTCCTACAAGGGTGATGAGCATCACAATTCTGGCTGACCTTGGTCTGGGTGAGTCTTGGCTTCTGTAACAAGTTTTGATGTCTATCTTATCCAC